TCTATCATTCACATTGAATCGGCTGCTTGCTTCCTCCGCCCCATAAATAGTGATTGAATTATACTCTGGCATTTGCAGGGTATCTGAGTAACTGAGCCATTGCAAGTATGTGCATGCACACAACTTCTGAAGCGTTTTTGTTACAAAGCTCCATCTTATTAGCTACTGATATTTTAATTTTTTTGTAAAAGAAGGTGAAGTGTTTAAACTTGAGATTTGAAATGTATATAAGAATACTAAAAGTGCCTCTTTCTAGCATATTGTCTCTCATTAGCAGTGTGGCTGATGTCAGATCCAAAGTTGGTTTCCTTGTTTATATAAATAATACTTTAACCTTCATGGAAAAAAATCAAACCAAAAGTTTCATAAGAAATGAACAGTAGGCCTTTTCTCTCCTGATTGTTAAACTGGTACAGCAGAACTGAAAACTCGTTGACTGCCTAGCAATATGGCCAGTACAGTCGGAAGATCAAGTTAGCATTTCAGAGATAATCAGCATTTTTACAAGAATGCTTATACCTTTAGATAATGGATGTCTTGTAAACATATTTTTGCAAGAAGCTTATGCTGATGAAAAGGGATGCATGCAGTTTTCTTCTAAGCTTGTACTTTGTTTCTGTTAATGCCATATTACTGCTTTCTTAGCTTGCTCTTTCTCCTCTCTCTTCCAATCCATGTATAGTTTTCTGGCTTGCTATTTTTTGGAGATTCCTGTTGAGATGTGCCTGGAGGGAAACTGTAGCAAAATGGTGTTGGTTTGGGGTTTTTTTTCTGGTTTTGTTAGAATGTTAGGATGTTGAAAGACATTGTTCTCAAGTTTATATAAATGAACAGCAGTGTTTTGTGCTATAAAACAGGATCTTGTAACTGGCAAATATATTTGTAAAATTGGCATTTTCTATATAAAAAAATACCAGTAGAGGAGAAAGGGTTAGCGTTTGTATCACATCATTTAGTCTGTGAGTAAACTCTGTATTTGCCTTTGGCAAGTACATGTGCTGAGGTTAATTATAGGAAAGAATTAGTGTTCTTGGGTAAAGTATGCTGCATTTTATAGTTTATGGAATACCCTCTAAGGCATGAGCTAGTATTTAGTTTGGTTGTTGGTGCTGACCTGGAAGAACAGGAAAAGATCTGCTAGCAGCCCTCAATATATTGCTCTCAAAGATGGGCTGAGAACTTTTAATTTCTCTCCTGAAGAAACTATTTATACTGTGACCAGTAATGGTTTTGCCTTGCACATTATACTGTCAAGTGCCTGTTTCTCACCTTGATGTGTTTGATGCACAGCTTAACCACAACATTTTTCAATTTGTTTTTAAATGTATGATAAAGAATATGTTCGTGAAGTTGAAGCCCATTACAAAACAAAATTGCATCCAAGTGGGAAATTGAGATATGTGAACTTACAGTTTAAGTCTTAGCGATGAAAGTTTTGGTGTGTTTTTTAAATGATATTTCCTCAGAAATAACCATTCTAAGGATGAACATTATTAAATTTAATATAATTTATTGTTATGCTTTAATAATGTATTTGTCTTTTGAGAACTCACTGGTGTGAGCTTTTCTCTTTTATGTTTATAAACTTGTCTGAATTTTCAGAATGGGGTCTTCTTTTCTTTTACATTCTTTAGATTCTTAACTACATTATACATTTATGGGCTTAAGCTATACACAGCTCCATATGTGGAATAAGTGTAGAATATGTCCCTTAATACTTGTTTTGAAATTGCATTTCAATCTATGTGGAATGGTTTAGAAGAAGGTAGCATTAAGATTGTATGATAAGATTGCACAAAAAAAAAAAAGTTTATATTGCTTTCTCGTAGCCAATCTGCATGATTGTTGGCGTGGTTTTAATGGGAATTAAAAGCTTCACGTGGCTGTAACTAGTCACCTAACTCTAAGCAAAGTTCCTTCTGAGTATTTTTATTTATTAGCATCATTTGCAAAAAGAAAAGTAGTATTTTCCATATGAATAAAGATTTAGTTTGAACTGAAATGCCTTATTCTTTGATATTTTTTTGTCCCATTTTATTTGACATGTGAATTTGTTTCCATCTGCGTGGACGTTACTTGCATCATTGTAGAATACAGCCAAGAAAGTAATAGCTGTGTCTGTCCAAACTCAGTGAATCATGCCGTCTCAGAAGCTACAGCATCCTAGATTTAAAGCATCACAAATTGTTTTCATAGTGGGAAGAATTCATTGGTTTTGACAAACTACAAATATTTTGTTTTACTGGTATTTATTGGTTTAAACATTTAAAAAAAAAATATTTATTGGCTGTTACAAAAGCTTGGGCACAGCAGCATTCTTTCCCTAAAGATTTCACCAGCTACGTGTAAACTGGAGGACCAGAAATGCTTCTGCATACGCTGGCCCCATAACGAGGTGAGACCTGCATGTCTTGGACTGTGACAAAAGTGGGATGCAGCCGTTGTTACCGATAGATCGGCAGTGGAAGGAAGCGCATTGTCAACTTCTCATTCTTCCACTCCATATTGCTGGCTCTGTGGTTGTCTAAATAGACTTAGCAGGGAACATTTAGGCAAAACGTTTATCAGTGTGTGTGAACTAGCTGAAACAGAAAATGTTATTTATACAAGTTGGATTCTTAGGGGATAAAACCCCCCATATTGAGATGCTGTACCCAGGTGGGTCAGGAGCACATTAGGTGAGAGGGGGTGGAGGGCCCTGCCAAAGGACCTTGCCAGATTTTGAACATAGCTGTTCCCACAGGCCAGCTGAATTTGACCTGGCATCTGTCTCAAATTTCCAAAACTTTTTGAAATACTTGTTAATGTATATGAATGTCAGATGACAAAACTGTAGGTCCTATCTCTGAAAATAATGTGAATTTGCATCTTATTTAGCTGTTTCTTGCATATCAAAACTGTTCTTACTGATTTTAATTTTTTTTTTTCCTGAGTGCCTGCTAGTTTTTATCTGGTAAATAAAACCAACAATATGAAGAAGCAGCAGTTTCCTAAAAGGCTTAGTCACTGGTGATAGTATGTGTATCATTAGATATCTGCCTATCTCTCAAAAATTTCTTGTAGCATGACTGTTTTGTACCATACAAGATAGGGAATCAGACAGATAGGCTAAGAATCCAGTTTAGAGATTGAAAGGAGAGGTGCTGAAAAAAATGCTGCTTCTATACTTAAATTAATAGAGTATGAAAGCAAACAAAAAATAGGGATCTAAATAATAAAAACTTATATGAAATATCTAATACTAAAGTGTAAGGAGAAGACTTTTTTTTCATATGATACTTACCAACTCTTGTCACTGGTCCTGAATAAAGGAATACCTGCTCTGTATTTGGGAAGAAAATTTTCCTATTCTGTGTCTAGTATTTAGTAAAAGATGCAAGAAAGTGACTATATTCTTTTCAAGTCCATAATAATCTGGCAAAAGCTTTGCTAGCACTTAAATTTTTCTGCTCTTGAAACCCAAATAACACTAGTGAAAGCTTAATAACACATTCTGAACTGTGTGTTTGCTATTGGGAAAGAAAAAGCATTACTCTCTGGAGAGAAAAATGCACAGCTGTATTTTGTAAGACTGGTTTGTCCACTACTGAAAATAATCATGATATTTTGCTTTCTGGTTGCTCTAACCCCCTGTACTGAGAGGACGTAACTGAACAGTTGAGTTTTTTAATAACTTTTCAGAGATTGGGCTGGATTCAGTTTTTGAGGTTGTATAGTAAAGCAGCTCTGACTTGATACAGAACCATTCCTTTAAATTACCAGTGTCTTCTGGCCTGCCTTATCTTGTACCCCTTTCCTTGAAACCCCCAAATGTTGTTGTCTGGAGCATCTTGTTTGTCCAGGAGTCTCACGATTCTCCACAAGATTACGCTGCTGAATGCTTCTGGTATTGGAGGGACAGAGAAAAATTTGTGATGCATGTGTCTGTGCTGGAGAAAGGAAGGGAGACTCATGTATCCAGAGTCCAAGTACTGTATTTGTTGGTTTGGGGGTTTTTTTCCTGCTAAAGCTTTCTTATGTGACAGATAATGAATATTAATTATTCTTTGCTTTGTTTTATTTTTGTACTTGTCCTCTATTAGCTTTTTATTGGGTCACATATGCGCAGACATCCTCTCTGATTACATAAAGACCTAATCTTTGCTGTTTCTCTCATGACAGACACCCACTTTTAGACAGACTTGCCTTCAGTTTAGGCCTGTAAACAGTTTATCTTTTGAGCATTTGGACAGAAACTTGGCAACCAACAGGACAAATAAAGGAAAACAAGTCAAGCATCACTTCCCATTAGGAAGTAAACTATTGTTTGATAGGATGGAGCACAAGATTCCCAGAAGTCATACTACAGATACAGTAATGCTGCACATAGGGTTATTTTGAAATTTAGAGACTTAATGAAATATATACTTGCTCTTTTTTTTGTTTTATAAACTGGCATATCTCCTGAAGCACATTAACCTGTCTGCCACACTGCCTCTGCGAGAGAGCACGCGGGTGTTGAAGCAAACCCTTGTGGCCGAGGTGGATGGCCTGCAGGCAGCTTAATCCTGGGGGGAGAGCTGAGCTCCTGACCTGTGCGGTCAGAACTGGCTGTGCTGGGGACAGGGGGGAGGGTTTCGAGACAAGTGAAGGAGCAGATGTTCTGGCACTGAGGAGTGAAGCACAATGTAAAGAGAAGTAGTCCAGAACATCTGAGAATGGTCCTGGGGGCAGGTGGTAGTATTAATATTTACTATTAGGCCAGGGGTTTAGCATTAGAGAACCAGAACTAATACACGGATTGTCCTTTTCTACTGTTCTTGGTTATCCTGTTCAAGAACAGGATTTTTATCTGTGAGGAGCAGTTGGAAAGCATGTCCCCTGTGCACTGGTACAAAATGACAGTTTTGGATACCTTTAACACT